GAGTGGGGCAAGCCATTACGATACAGTAGAGTGGTTTGCTTCTAAGCGACTGGAATGAGAGTGAGTAAGTAGAGGTGTTGGAGATGTGAAGAATGGGACATGAGTGTGTGTCTTTACCATGTGTGGTGAGCATCAGTACTTGGCGGAAAGAAGGAAGCGAGCAGCACACTGCTCCGCACTCACTCACTTCCTTGCCAATCTGAGATACGCAAACCCTCGGTTTATTATTACCACTTGACACCCGTATAATTTACGTTACTTTAGTTCTTTGTTTGCATTTGTTTATGTAATCGCGTTGGGACGTAAAAAATTGTCTGGTTTGAGTCGCCCACGCACGATGTGAACCGCGATAGTTGCCGTCAGGCGGCAGGTGAGGCGCACTATGCCGTCATGCCGTTTCAGCGACACTCACATGCCTCGAAATGCATCTCGCCTGCTACTTGTCATGCTTGCGGATTTTCGTCAAAACTTTGGAAAGTAACAATTAAAGGAGCTACAAATCGAGTGTTCCTCTCTCTGCGATGACACAATTGTCTGGATTTATAGGAGGAGACGTCAAGTTATCAGTGAGTTTGCGACGAATCTGCAACAGCCTTTGCAAGGTGCTTTCATGTTCCACCACCAACTATCCAACAGCTGTCGGGTTTAAGGTATTTCGGCATTCTGAAATGAATTTTTCTTTTTCTCATTACCACCGTCGCGGACATTTCGCAGATGCTAATCAGATGCCACATCTCCATTCACGGAGAGTGTTGTGACCAGCGTCTCTCCCTCAAATGCAAAACCTCCTTTAAGCAAATCACCCCATTACGGCAAATTCCATTCGATTTGCGTGGCATTTGGTGAAGAACGTAGATGAGAACGGGCAACCCTCACTTCTACCCTCTACTGAATCACTCAGTCGAAGCAGGACAAGAGTCACGACCCATGTTGTGTTGGCAGTGGGAAGAAGCAGTCGTGGTGAGGCATTAGTTGAGGGGAAAGGCAAGTCAACATGCATAGTGGCTCATCTTCGATGCTATGGCAATGAGCCTTCATGCATTTCCTCATCCATTCAGCCACTGTCCAATCTCTTTCCTTTATTCATGCATTCATTCCCAACTCATTCATTTCACAGCTTTGAATGGGATAACTAAGCATGCTTGAATGCATTCCTGCCTGCGGCAAATGCAACCGATGAAAGGCGCATGTGAACGAGATTGGTGGCAGGAAGAGGCAGGCATGACGAAATGCAGGCTATTGGTCAGCGTCCCTGACCTCTCCTGTATTGTGAAGGCAACAGTGGGGGCAGGCTATCACGAGTGGGACGGGAGGCAAATTGGACAATTTCTGCATTCAGACGAGAGGATATTTAGGAAAATAAACAAAGAACCAATTAACGAGGCATAATTGTAGATTCTAACAAAAAAGTGGGGAAAGACCATTCGCTCTCTTCGATTTGCGATTGTGCCATCCTCCCGATCCCTTCATTATCACATCCAGTAGCGTTTACCTGGTCAATGAAAAGTGTTAGAAAGTGAAATTGAACAAACACTCCAAACATTGAAGCAAAAGATTGTAGGTATATGCAATGCAAATAATTTACGAGAGCCACTCATGTTATTTAACTTGGAAGAAGGTGGCTTGGATGCCCTGTGTTTCATTGTGAGATTTCGTCGATCAAAAGAAATCGAAGTGGGGTCGCGAAGAGGCGTTTTATAAGTCGCTGCTGTTTCCGTCACAACACACGCTGGACAGTGTGTGTGCAAGTCACAGCACACGCCTCCTGATGCATATCCTACTCTGTGTGTCTTCGCAGAGAATGTTGTGCCCGCTCTTCGCTCTGCCCCCTTCGGTGACGTGGTCTTCGGTTCACGTTACCACCCTGCCACAGTACCTTGGCTCCCTGTGACAATGAGGATGACCGGCCAAGGCACTACACATTTGCACTACGTGTG